GTAGCACCGTACTGGCCCCGTCGGCCTTGGTTTGCCGACCTTCAGGCGCTCTCGACTCGGCCTCCATGGCGTCTTCCTCCCGCCGACGTCGCTCTTCGTCAGGGGTTGCTCCTCCATCCGGACGCCGCTTGGCTTCGACTAACCGCCTGGCGGTTGAGCGCCAGCTCCTGTCGGAGTCTAACCTGCCCCACGACGTGATTGACACCATCTCGGCGGCGCGCCGTCCAGCCACGGTACGCATCTACGCGGCTACGTGGCGCTCCTTCGCGGAATGGTGCATACCACAAGGAATTGACCCGAAGCAGGCCTCAACTAACCAGGTACTCATCTTCCTTCAGAAGGGGTTGGCCGCCGGCCTCGCGCCAAACACGTTACGCAGGCAAGTAGCCGCTTTATCCTCCATTCTCTGTTTGGGGTTCCGTAATTCTTTGGCTCAACGTCCGTTGATTCGTTTGTTCCTTAAAGGGGCTTCGAATCTTCGGCCCCCTCCCGTACATCGTTATCCCACCTGGGACCTTCCTAAGGTGTTAAATGCCCTCACTAGGGAACCGTTTGAGCCTATTCGCACAGTGTCCTTACGATTTCTCTCCTATAAGGTTTCTTTTTTGGTCGCTATCACCTCCGCTAGGCGAATTTCAGAGTTGGCCGTACTCTCCGTGAGGGCTGACCTCTGTGTCTTCCACCCTGACAGGGTGGTTCTCCGCCTGGACCCAACCTTTCAACCTAAGGTTAATTCCCTATTTCACAGATCTCAGGAGTTGATACTTCCCGATTTCTGCCCTCACCCATCCCACCCGAGGGAGCGTGTTTGGCACTCCTTGGACGTTCGCCGGGCACTTCGCATCTACCTTCGGCGAACGTCCTCTTTTCGCAGGTCGGAGGCGCTTTTCGTCTCCTTCCAACCGTCCACTCTGGGTCTCAAGGTCTCCTCTCATACGGTGGGTCATTGGCTCCGCGCCACTATAGCCTCTTGCTACGAGGCTTCTTCCACTCCTATCCCCAGGCGTGTTACTGCCCATTCTACCCGCAGTGCCGCCACTTCAGCAGCTTGGGCCACTCAGGCCTCCCTCCTTGACATCTGCCGGGCCGTCACCTGGGCGTCCCCCACTCCCTTTATCCGCCATTATAAGATCGATACCTTCGCTTCGGCGGAAGCGGCATTTGGCCGCCGGGTTCTCCAACAGGTGTGTGCGGACCAGGCCTCCACGTCCTGGGCGGATACCCCCCTATAGTCCTCGGGCTTTGGCATGTCCCTTTCCTGACCGCTGTCTTCCCCGCTTCCCTAGAATGGGCGTTGACTTACCTGAATGCCCCTTCTGGGGACCGGGAAGACAGCAGTCAGCCCCACCCTTTTGTCCGCCAGTTCGTCTCGGCTGGTCCACTCTCTTCTTTCTACTACTTCCAGGGCTAGTGCGTCGTCAGGAAAACATCACATTCCTCGTCCGAAAGCTGGCAAGCGACAGGAGGAGGAGCTTATCAACTTTCCTGACCCGATCTTCGCTGGATTGCAGCAGATAACCCTTTCCTGACCGCTGTCTTCCCGGTCCCCAGAAGGGGCGTTCAGGTAAGTCAACGCCCATTCTGACGCGGGCACAGCACGGAAACGGCATTGGTCGCTCTGGTGAATGATTTCTGGCGGGCTCGGGATGGTGGTTGTTCCTCCATCCTGGTCCTACTTGACCTCTCAGCGGTTTTTTATACCATCGACCATGGTATCCTACTGCAGCGACTTGTGGGGTTAGGGGTGGGAGGCACTGTTTTACAGTGGTTCTCCTCCTACCTCTCAGGTCGCTTGCAGTTTGTATGGGCGGGGGGGCAGAGGTCCACTCCAAGGCCCCTAAATTGTGGGGTGCCTCAGGGGTCAGTTCTTTCCCCCCTGCTCTTTAACATCTATATGAAGCTGCTGAGTGAGATCATTCATGGCTTCGGGGTGAGATATCATCAATATGCTGATGATACCCAGTTATACATCTCCACCCCAGACCACCCCAGAGATGCCCTTTCCGTGATGTCCCATTGCCTGGAGGTGGTGCGGGCCTGGATGGGTAGAAACAAACTCAGACTCAACCCCTCCAAGACTGAGTGGCTGTGGATGTCGGCATCTCGGGTTTCAGAGACCCCCTCACTTTTGATGGGTGGGGAAAAACTTGCCCCCGTTGATAGGGTTCGCAACTTGGGTGTCCTCCTGGATGCTCGGCTGTCCCTAGAAGACCACCTGATGGCCGTGATCAGGGGGGGCCTTTGCACAGGTTCACCTGGTGCGCCAGTTGCGCTCTTTCCTGGACCGAGATGACCTTTGCACTGTCACTCATGCCCTGGTCACTTCCCGCTTGGATTACTGCAATTCCCTCTACATGGGCCTGCCCCTGAGATGCACCCGGAGACTCCAGCTGATCCAGAATGCAGCCGCACGGGTTGTTACGGGAGCCCCTCGTTACTCCCATATAACACCTCTCCTGCGTGAGCTGCACTGGTTACCAGTGGTTCTCCGGGTCCGCTTCAAGGTGCTGGTTCTCACCTATAAGGCCCTACGTGACTTAGGTCTGGGATATTTGCAGGACCTTCTGCCTGCCTCTCACCGTCCTGTTCACTCACATAGGACTGCTCTCCTCAGGGTTTCGACGGCGAGTCAATGTCGTCTGGCGGCGCCCAGGGGTAGAGCGTTCTCTGTGGGTGCTCCCACCCTCTGGAATGAGTTGCCTACTGAGCTCCGGACGGCTCCTGATCTCCGCTCCTTCCGTCGGGACCTGAAGACTTGGTTGTTCAAGCAAATAGGCTGACTCTGATTCTGGGTTTTATTATTTATTATTTATTAGTTAATTTGGTTTAAAATGGGATTTTGTTGTACATGTTTTTAACTTGTGTTCGCCGCCCTGAGTCCTTCTGGAGAAGGGCGGCATATAAATACATGAAATAAATAAACAAACAAACAAACAAACAAACAAATAATAAATAAATAAATAAATAAATAAATAAATAAATAAATAAATAAAGTATATACTGTATATAATTAAAATTGGCTTGTAGCCATTATTCTTTATAAATAAGTAAAGGTATAGTAGGTTTCAAAAAGTAAGTGATTGCCACATGCATTAACTCACTTTTGGTAGCCTAGAAAGTTTGCATCACAATTCTTTGATGCAGTTGACAGCTTTTTATAATTTGTCTTGGAATTGTTTTATAATCTGTATTCTTTTGCAACATTTAGCTTATTTTTCCTGTCATCTCCATATATATGTGTGTGTGTATGTGGTGTGTATGTGTATGTGTATGTGTATATTATACCCTGTTTCCCCCAAAATAAGACATCCCCTGATAATAAGCCCAATCGGACTTTTGAGTGCATGGCAATAAAACCAAGTGCTTACTCCAGGGTTCAAAAAAATATAAGACAGGATCTTATTTTCAGGGAACACGGTATGTATGTATGTATGTATGTATGTATGTATGTATGTATGTATGTATGTATGTATGTATGTATATATGTATATATTTATATATGTATATATGTATATCTGTTATTCGCATCTCAAAATTAGTGCATTTATCAGTGCCTTTCTTGCAATTGTTCTTATAAGTTTTGGTCTTTCTAAATGCATGATTTTATTGCTGCTGAGAAATTACTCAAAAAAAGTGTTGCCTAATGATTTGTAGTAGACTCTTTCTTAACTAAGTGATTAAATATGGCTACCACATGTTTGATGGAAAAAAAAATACAGTTATACCTGATGGCCATCCGGATTGTTAGTTCTAAGTTGACACCATTGAAAGAAAAAATGGCACATGGTAGTTTTACATTGCATTATAAGTAGAAAGGATTAATCCCTTCTGCTGGTAGATTGGCCATTGGAATCAGGAGGAAGAACTGATTTTCTCAAAATCATCTTCAGAGGTTTGGTGCATCATTTTGAAGAGGATCTGAAGAGAAAGGAGAAAAGGAAATCCCACTGCATAAAAATTTCATAGTAAAGTTAGCTTGATTTGTAAAGAGTTTGATAAAATATTTATCAGTGTTAGTTTGCATGTGTAGGAAGGGGAAGAAGGTTCTGGATTGTTATGTAAGATGAGTTTATATAATGCAAGGAATTATGTGGTACTCTAATACGTGTTTTAGTGTTTACATATTTTTCTTGTTTTAGATTAAATAGAAACTTAATTGTTGTCTTTTGGATACTCTTTGGAAGCATCATAATAGTAGGTGGATCTAAGCCACAAACACATAGGTCCTCTTTTGAGAGTGCATTTATCTTCCCCATCTTTTTTGAGACCTTTTTTTACTTTGTTCCAGGTAGCTGTTTGTCAGGGAACATATTTTGATAAGAGTCTAAATTGTTGGTTAGAGATGGGGCTAAATGTAGCCTCATGGTCATAAGTTGCCGATCCATATTGAATAGAAATATTACTTGTTTTTATTGTGTTTATACATTTGAATGCTTTTCTGAAAAATGCAGTAGAAGTGTCATTGCTTTATAAACCATGTAAGTCTAGTGCTTTAATGGAGGAGCTGTATCTGTTTCACATATGCATTAGAAAAAACAAAACAGTTCCTTCTATGCCAGTGACATTAATACACTATTGGTGAATCATGATAGAAATTATAGTTTTTATTTTTCCATTCTGCCCCTTTCCTTTTCCTTGTCCATAAGCCATCCTAGAAATGGTGAAAATTAAAGAAAGTGAATCTATCAATGAAGTACAAGCAAACTTGTACAAACCAGATAATTCCTGGTTGTAATATGCTGCCAGATTCCTTAAAAAACCAGATGTTTCAATCCAGTGGTGGGTTCCTCCCGGTTCGGCCCGGTTCTCCTGAACCGGTAGCAGTGATGATATGACACCTAATAAAAACAGCTTTTGAACGCTTCATCAAAATAACAAGGCTCTCCCTGGAGTGCTATGATTCCCATAAAAAGATGCAGCTATTTCCTAATTTAGTCTTCAGATCTATGACTGATACTCTTGTTTTTCATGAATGCTTAACTGTACCATTTTTTTTATAGTATGCATGACAAACTGTCCTACTCTGATTGTAATGGTTGGCCTTCCAGCAAGAGGAAAAACCTACATATCAAAAAAATTGACACGCTACTTAAATTGGATTGGAGTGCCTACAAAAGGTGAGTGCTGTCACCACAGAGGTTTAAGCAAAATTTAGGTAAAAATAGTTCCCATATACAATGTATCCCATAGCATGGCAAATATTGGCTTTTAAGGGGACCTAAAAGTATATTAACCAAGTAGCCATTTTTTTCTTTCCTTTTTTCTGTTTAGATATTGTTGCCTATTTTGGTTTGTCTATTACTTTTAACAACACAGTAGATAGTATTAAGTAATCAGCTTAAGCAGAAAATTATTTTTACACCAAATACTTTGATGTATTTTGCAGCTGCTCTTTAAAGTTGTATTCAGTTTTGGATGTAAAAGCTAAATAACTTTATTTATTCATTTTTATTTATTACATTTATATGCAGCCCAATTAATTAATTTCCAATTAATCAACTATTATGCTTCTTAAATTGGTATTTTAAATCAGTTAATACTGATATAGTATCTTTTCTGTCTTTAACGGTCTGTTATCTAAACTTTAGAATGTTAATAATCTCTAGTCCACATTATTGAAATAATAAATGTAATACATGTTTTATAATAATATAATAAAACAAAGAAAAAATGTAACAGAATAAGATTTCTATTGATTTATCACAGTCAGCCAGATGTTTAGACTGAATTTGGCATTTTATCAATCTAGCTGCGTAATGGGGTGAGCTCCCGTTACTTGTCCCAGCTTTTGCCAACCTAGCAGTTCAAAAGCACATTAAAAAAAATACAAGTAGAAAAATAGGGACCACCTTTGGTGGGAAGGTAACAGTGTTTCGTGTGCCTTTGGCTTTTAATCATGCCGGCCACATGACCACGGAGGCATCTTTGGACAGCACTGGCTCTTCGGCTTTGAAACGGAGATCAGCATCGCCCCCTAGAGTTGGGAACGACTAGCACATATGTGCGAGGAGAACCTTTACTTTTTAAAGATAACAATATAGAAATTAGAAGGGCTGTGCGAGGGGAATTTTTACCTTTACCTTTATCAATCTATAAAGTCCTTTCTAAGGACTCAGGTAAATGTTGCTGTTTGGTTAACCAAGGTAAAAGATATTATTAGTTAAAGGTATTATTACTGTTCTTTTTTTATCTAAACATGTCATAGTGTGCATAATTCTGAACCAATTTTTAAAAAGTTGGTTCAATATACTGAACTGCTTTCAATTAAAAGTAAGGAAAGGAAAATGGAAGCAAATAGAAAAGGAAGCTAAGATGCTTTGTTTTCAGTTACATCTACCTAGACTTAATCACAGATTTAAGTTGTAAGTCATTTAAGAGTCAGCTAAAAGCTTCACAGGAAAAATTGGATCTAAGAAGAACTGGAAAAGAAAAGCAGTGCCCTTCATAGCTTCCCATAAACAATATTTAGGATATAATTTAAAGTGATCTGGTTTCAAGATTATACCCCAAAGGTGCTTTTTCAAGTGGCAACAGGACTTTCTGGTTTTCCTTTGAAGATGTTTCACTTCTCATCCAAGAAGCTTCTTCAGCTCTTGAAAAAGCACCTTTGGGATAACCATGACCTGGATGATTGAGAATCTCTATAGCCTTTTAAGATGATAATATATAGTAATTTTTTTGGCTACTTGAGATAATTTATACCTTATTTAATGGCAGAAATAAGGTGTCTCTGTACACCTTAAATTATAAATGTAAATAATAGGAGAAAATGAAAACTCAATTTTCCTCCTTGACTTTTCTACACAGAGTTTAATGTTGGTCAGTACCGGCGAGATTTGGTAAAAACATACAAGTCCTTTGAATTCTTCTTGCCAGATAATAAAGAAGCCCAGAAAATCCGAAAGTAAGTTTGTCATGGGTCACTTTCTGTTGGCATCATGCTGCTGTTTTGATATAAAGGAATGTTGATGTTAGCGAATTAGAAAACAGCTGATGCTGTTGGTTGTTTCTACTAAGTTGGGAAAGTAGGATAGCTGTCTTGAGAGATGCATGGCTCAGTCTTAAGTTTTCTTCCTGTAATCATTGTTTTAATTTTATTGCCCATAATCTGTGAACTGGACATAAGTTGCTCCAGCATTTCTGAACTGTGCCTTTTAAGTGCTTTTGTATGTAAGGCTGAGTCCTGTTTTGTGTAGTCTTTTAATAATGCTAGAAATAGCCCTGTATATTTGTAACTATGAAATCTTGTCGGGGTATAACCAGGATGTTGTCTCTTCTTTTTAAGAAAGTGTGCCTTAGCAGCACTAAATGATGTTCAGCGATATCTTTGTGAAGAAAATGGGCATGTCGCAGTAAGTGTTCTATGGTGCATTGCTAAACAAATGAGTACTAGAACAGTGTTTCCCAGGCTTTTGAGGTGGTGGCTCTCAAATTCCATAAACTGCTACATAAATACTTTGAGGTTGGAGATTAGATCCAGTTTAATTCCTGTTTCATAGTTGGTTCTGGTCAATCGATTTATTATTGAAGAATATATTCTACATAGTACTAACCTTCTGCCAGCATCAATGGATAATTTTCATATCTGTATCTGCTGATATAAATTTTTATAATGCAGAGGTAATTTTAAATTGTTGCATTGCTAAGTGCTTTCTAAGTCACATTTGGAAAGTCAACATCTTAAAAAGATAGCCTTGTGAAATAGCTTGAGTAATATGTTATTTTATTTCTAACATGTTTCTTAGTGAGTTGGTTAGTCTGCAAATCAAATAAATAGATAAACAACATTAGGTATAGTTTAGTATGATATCTGCATGAATTATAATAGAAACAAAGGTGAATGAAACAAATGTTTGAACAGGCATTTTGCTTTTGAAAGTCTCAGAAATATATGGGAACAGCATGACATAAAATAAGCAGAACATCCTATCTATTTTATTTGTAGTTTTTGTGCATAATCTTCAATGTTAGTTTGAGATGAAGCATTTCATGAATCTTGAGAGCATTTGAGTTAACAATTCTGGAAAATGTTTATTCTTCTGTATTTGTATCTTATAGCACATTCATAGTAAAATTGTGTTATGTAAAGTAATATAGTTATGCAGTTACAATATAATAATATATAGTTATATAGGATATAGTCCTATTGAGTAGATTCATTCTGCCATTTTATTCATGATAACACTTCAAAATATTTGTGGCAGCCCTGTTTGGGAGAATTAACATCTCAGCAAATACATATTTAATTGCACTATTTGTTCTGCTTGCCATTAGTATGCGTACATATGGAATATATATGTACCTGTATACTATACAAAACCATATAGTAGTTGCTAAAAATATTTATGATGAAGCTATTACATTTTATTAATGATACATGAAATACTACAAAGAGGTATATTTTTCCATTTATAACCATTGATTCCTGTATTGTCTCATCTAGGTTTTTGATGCTACAAATACTACAAGGGAACGTAGAGACACCATATATAAGTTTGGTGAAGAAAATGGATTTAAGGTCAGCTGAGTAAAGATGCGAAAATTATTTAGTCCTAGGATATGTAAAAGTGAGCATTTCTAATCACAACAGAATCTTCTTTCATATTAACTAGCAGCAGAAACTAAGTCTAATAGTTACTGTCAACCACAGAATTAAAATTACAGAATAAATTATTATAAGCACAATTTACTAGAAAATTGAGGGGTTTTTTAACAGAACTACTCACGGCCAATACCTTTCATCTGCTGTTACAGTCAGTTTCTTTGCAGTCAGTCTAATATTTAGAACAAACATTTTAAGACAGCTGTCAATTTTAATATTGCATGTACCATTAATTACTTTGTTAATTGTAACTCTCATGTATTTTTGCAAGGGAACAGGAATGAAGAAGAGAGAAAGCCATGCTTCCTTGATTTACTCCTCTAGTAAAACACAGTGTATGGAATTTTCTTTATAATTTCTGTTACATGACAATTAAAATACCCTTTATATTATTTTAATACTACTCCAGGGGTCAGAAGTAGAAAGAGCAGAGTAGTAGAGAAAGAGACATTACCTTTCTGTGTGGCATGAACTCTAAATCCAGAATGCCTAGATTCCAAAGGACTTCATTAAAGCTATACTATCTGAATTAGTTGAGAAAAAGATCAACGGAATGTTTAGAAAGTCAGATCATAAGCACAGTTCTGGTTTTATTTAGTGACTACTTTGCTTAACAATCAACTAGTTGGTTCCAGTTGTGGTTACTAAACAAGAACTACTATTTGTTTTATTATACAGCACTGTGTTTTGCCTTTGAATAAGTACATTGAAGCCTGCTTTGCATTTTTTTAGAAAGTGAAAAATATTATGTAAAGGTCCAACATCAATGTTCTTCCTGTTTGGCTTACAGACTTTTTTTGTGGAGTCAGTATGTGTTGATCCTGAGGTTATTGCTGCAAATATTGTGGTGAGTCGTAACTTCCGTTTACGTTAAAATGTTTGTGCTCAGTTTACTTCCCAGAACCACTGAATCTACTTCACTCCCTGCCATACTCAAGTAAAAAAAACTTGGAAATGTTACATATGCATGCATGCATGCAGATAACATATTTCACTTCTGTATTGATTTCTAATTAAGGTTTGTTTTTAAACTCGATTACTTTTACTTAATTGTTTGTAATCTAAAAAACTTGTCCTGCCTGGCTGAGCTTTCCAGGTTTTCTTCCCAGGCATTCTTGCATTCACTAGAGATTGAATTTCTGGAAACTGGCTTGCAAAATACATTTTTTACCAGTGAACACTGCCTTCTTTCAAGAAAGGCAGAAGTTAATCTAACCGTAGAATTGCAGAACAAGCTAGGAGAAGTGTGGAAATATTATTTCTCAATCACCAAACTATATAAATTTATTTATTTTATTTAGTGTATGGTATCTACACAGGTCATTCAATCACTGATACACAAATTTAGTTTAAATAAAAGGTCATTAAATTTTTATATATATATATATGATATCTGGACAATACACTATAGGACATAATATATTAAATTAAGGCTATAGAAATGAAAAGAATTGAAAACAAAAGTGTCAATCTTAAAATAACAATTTACTATCCACATTATCTTTTCCACTGATATTTAATTTGTACATTTTCCCTAAATTGTTGAAGTATAAGTTAGGTTTCTCTTTTAAATTTAGTTTTTTCTACTCAAAATACAGAATATAGGAAAGCATCATACAACTAATTTACTTCTTTTATAATATTTAGAGATTTCTTTGTTCTCTGGTTTCTTAGCAAGTGAAATTAGGCAGTCCTGATTATGTTGACTGTGCTAGTGATGAAGCTACAGAGGACTTTATGAAAAGAATTGAGTGTTACAAGAATTCATATGAGACATTGGATGAAAATCTAGACAAGTAAGTGACCATTTCAGTTTTAATTAAAAAAATAATAATATCGTACCTTAAAATTTAATCCATTTAACCATAACATACATTTTAGAGGAACACATCCTCTCACATGAATGATATAAATTAACCTGAGAGAGATGATATAAATACTATTAATAAGAAAGGAAAAAAATGGGATAGTGATGAGAATAAACAGAAATGCTTTTAGTATTAGAAAATAGAGACAGAATCGTGAGGTAATGCAGATCATAAATAAAGCACAGGGATGTGTGCTTGTCAGTCCTAGGTAGCAAAATTAACAAAGAACACTGTGGTCCTTTACTGTGAGGTATTTGTACTTCTGACAAATTTTATTACTCAATTGTTGATGTTTATGCCTTGCTTGTGATCTGGAATGAAGAAAAATGGGAAGTAAAAAAGTTTAAAGAAAAAGTGAAATTCCATGATTGCCTTTAAAAAAAAAGACCAAATGTGAAATAGTCACAGCATTTAACATGGGTATTTTGGACATTAGTCACTATAATTTGAAAATAACCCTTGGTCCACATTCAGTCCATGACAAATGGTATTACGTTTTCTGATTCAATCTGCTTTGGGTTTTTTTTGTCAAATATGACCATCTTTTATTTTTATTTTATTTATTAAAATTATATGCCTTGAAGTGACTCTTGAGATAAAAAATAGACTGGGGAGTTTGTGTATTTATTTTATATGACTACACATTAAAAAAAAGAAAACTCTGGGCAACTCACAACAGCAATAAAAACCGAAGGATGTGTTTTCATCAACAGCACTCAGTTGTGGACATTTCCTTATATAGACTTGAACTGGTGCTGTATTAGGGGGTTTACAAATAATGTCATGCAAATTTTAGGATGTTTTCCCACATTCTCCTAAGTTATTATATGATTCTGGCCAGTAAACCTGGTTGGTTTACAAAAGTAGTTGACTATATGTATTGCTTATTGGCTATAGTCAACAGATAAAAGTCCTAGGAAAACCTGAATTGTACTAGTTACAAAAATGGTGTTAATTTATACTAATGAATGAGAAAAATTGCAGTAACATGTGGCTTGGGCAACAAATAATGTTGATATATTAATTTCATGCTGTTGCTAGCATAATTGAAAAAGGATATTGGAATTGAAATTGAGAGCATCAGCAAATAGATCCCTAATTCATGATTCAGCGGAAAAAAAATCTGTCAGAGAAAATAGCTTGAAATATCTGTTTACAGAGTTAAATCAGCCCAAAGAACACACATTAAAAAACTAAGCTAAACATATTTCACACCCACAGTTCCAAGAAATCTTTGCTCTTTGCAGACTGATTCTTTTTAATGCATGCTTAATTTCTAAGCAAACAAGGAATTATCTGTTAAAATAGAAAATGACAGCCACAAGCTATATGGATTGACAAATTCTATATAGTATGGATAATATGGTTAATTTGTAATTCTCTCTTCAGAAATTAGTTAATTGAAGATTTAGTAAAATGCTGTATTACTTATATACAGTTAGCTATTTTTACTAACTTTCCAACCAGATTCCATAATGTAAAAAGAATGTAAATAGAATAAATACATTGCATATTGACAAACATCCTGTTACTTAAAGTTATTTTTGTTAGACTCTGGAACTACAGGTAGTCCTCAGTCTCTGATGGCAGTCATGACTGGAATGTCCATCGCTAAATGATGGGGTTGTAAAGCACAACATCACAAGACTGAATCTATGGTAATCCTGGTTGCTGTCATAACCCCAAGACCATTAGGTCATTAAGTGGAAAGAGGCAAGATGTCAGGCAAATGGGTTAGCAGTTCAGATAGAAAATGGGATGGGTGAGTGCCCCAGATGCTGTAGAGTGTAGGCTGGTGCTGCAGGCAGGAGAGTGGGTGGTACAGGTAGGCACTACAGGATGGGTGTCAAACTCATGGCCTGTGGGCTGGATGTGCCATGCGCTGCCTACGCCCATACCTGGTTTAGCGAAGGGAAAAAAGTCAAGATATGTCATGTGGCGCCGCCGTGACCATGTGAGTGTGACACCTCTGCACTAGGGAATGTGGGGACGTACCAGAAGAAGGACCGAATGGTTGTAAATGCAGGCTGGCCCAAATTTTGATCATTTGACTGGGGAAGGGGCAGATGTGATGGCCAAAACTTCAAGGACTGGTTGCAAGTCCATTTTTTTCAGTGTCCTTGTAACTGAGGGGCACAAATGGACATAATCGGAGGACTATCTGCACTTTTCCTCAAATGTAGGTGAGTAAAATGTATTCCTGGTCTCTGTGGATGATAAGTAAAGCATTAGGTTAAATAGGACAATAATTAATTATGTCTCCTATTTTTACAGGGATCTTTCTTATATAAAAATCATGGATGTTGGAAGGAGTTACCTTGTAAACCATGTAATGGATCATATTCAGAGTCGGATTGTTTACTACCTCATGAATATCCATGTAACTCCTCGTTCCATCTACCTCTGTCGACACGGTGAAAGTGAACTAAATCTAAAGGGAAGAATAGGAGGAGACACGGGCTTGTCCCAGAGAGGGAAAGAGGTAGTTATATTCTATCTATTGTAGCTCTGTATTTTATTACAATTAAAATTTATTTTAAAATTTAAGTAATTTTTTAAAATGTGCAGTATCTTGCATTTGTTTGTGTTCTGGGATTTAAGGAGAGATTTGGATCCAGACAACCAAGGATATGGAACATTCTGCATTTTGCTTTTGAACAATAAACCAGATCTCCATTCCAGAGAATGAATGAGATCAAAAAGAAATGAATAGGATCAAAACAGAAGCTGCATTGGATTAATTTAAATAAAATGTTAAATTAACTGCAAATGTACACGACATATTTATTAATTTTCCCTCATGGACATGTTAAAAATTACAAGTCGATGGCAACTTTTGTGGGGCTGTGGGGCGACCCGGTGTTCAGGCTTACAGTGTGGCTTGCTGGATAGGAAATTTTGGGAATTGAGGTCTACGCATCTTAAAGTTGCTAAGATTGAGAGATACTAATATCAGAAAATTCTTAAAAACTGAAACATTTCAAGAAAGGCTTGAAAGATACAGGAACGTGGGTGTAATGTATTGAGCTTGCTCCGTGGGCAAGGCCCCCTGTTGGAATAATGAATATCTTATTATTCCAACAGTATATATCACCGGTACATACCAGTGGGGATGTCACAGGCCTCCGTTTATTTTTACTACTTAAAAAACAAAAATCTTTCAACCTGAATAAGAAACGTTCAGGAGGTTATACTTCTACAAGTGGAAATTCCTTACACTCATGCAACTTTTTTTACACCAAAATTAGAGCGCCTTCTTATTTTAGTAAACGAATATTGTGATTATTAAATGCAAGTCAAATTTCTTTGGTGAAGGACTAATCAGCCTTTGAAAGACCTCATTCAAAATTTATTATCTTTTGACACTGAATCTGAGTAGCTGTGATATTATAATGTATTTTTTTAATGACCTTTTCCAGTTTGCCAAGAGCTTGGGCCAGTTCATTAATGATCAAAACATCAAAGATCTGAAAGTCTGGACAAGTCAGATGAAGAGGACCATTCAGACTGCTGAGGCTCTGAGAGTGCCTTATGAGCAGTGGAAAGTTTTAAATGAAATTGATGCGGTAGGATACTTTTCTTTTACATGCATAACCATAAATGTTTGGAGTTTTTTTGATGATGATGATGACGATGATGATGATGAAGAGCTCCTGAAGCTTCCTGAAGTTTTGTACCTATCAGACTAGTTTTCAGGGCTTATTTTGAATGTATTAGATTGTACTGCACCTATTGCTTCTCTTACCATAAGACTATAATGTTAATTATCATATGCTTAAAAAAGGTAAATGTTAGTAGGTTTCAGCAATTTTAGAAAGTATTGGTGGAACTTGTCCCTTCTTGCTACAGAATTACTTCCGTTGTTTCCAAACTGATATCAGGCAATACATTATTTTTATTTTTGACACCTATTCCTAATTTGAAGGGATGCTTTAAAGTTAAATTGAAAATCAAAGTTTGTTTTAATCATTGTATGAAAATAAAATGGTAAGTTTTTCTGCCCTAATGTCTTATTGATCGATCGATCGATCGATTGATTGAATTTACCGTATTTTATGGAGTATAAGACGCACCTTTTCACCCCCTAAAAGAGAATGGAAATCTTGGTGCATCTTATAACCAAATACAGCCATTTCTGGCCTCCTGAAACCCTGGCCCAGGCGTCCCATTTTCTCCAAAAACAGGCCCATTTTCACAAAAACGGGATGCACAGAGGGTTTGGGAGGCCTGCATAGTGCTCCTGGGGCTGGGGAGAACAAAAATGCAACACGTGGGGGGTTTGGGAGGCCAAAAATGGGACTGTTTTTCACAAAAACAGTGTTTTTGCCCTCCCCAGCCCCCAGGAACACTCTGCAGGCCTCCCAAACCCTCTGCACATCCTGTTTTTCACCTCCCAAACCCTCTGTGCACCCCGTTTTTTGTGAAAAACAGGATGTGCAGAAGGTTTGGGAGGCCTGCAGAGTGATCCTGGGGGCCGGGATGGGCAAAAACTTTTTTTTTCTCATTTACCTCTTCAAAATCTTGGTGGGTCTTATACATCGGTGCATATTATAGTTCAAAAAATATGATATTTGCGTCCCATCTTGTAGTAAATGACGTTTCAACCTGAAAGTGACATAACAGGTTTTTTTTTAAAAAAAGTCATTTCAAATAATTCATTTTAATGACAAATTATTTTGTTTATGCTGTTTGTAATTTGATTAGATTTTTAAAATAGTTTTATTTGTTGAAATTGGTAGAAATGTGTGTTAAAATTCAGTAAATTAATTGAAATAAACTCATTGAGGATTTTAAATTAATTGAATTTTGAAAAACATTAGTGCTAAAGCCCCTGACAATAACCACAGATTTTTTCTGAAGATATTTGAAAAAATAATCTGAGAAAGCAGATTCGACCAATTAGATCAAGCTGGGAAAAACCACTGTACTGTTTCCATTTTCAGGAGGTTTGGAGAGGGGGAGTAAAACTATTTGTTATTTTAGGGCTCCCTTCCCACCCCAGCTTCGCTTCGCTCCAACAAGAAGCTAAAGACAGATTTTTTTTTTACCAGAAGGTGTTTGGAGTGTTTGCTCTTAAGTGGGGTTCTGTTTAATTTGGTATTGTTATTTTTATTATTATATATTTTGTTTTAATTGTAAACCACTTGTAAAAGACTTTAGTTTGGATTACGGCAAAGTATAAATTTGATTAGATAAATATTTCCATGAATTGAATTTCCATTTAGAATAGAATAGAATAACAGAGTTGGAAGGGACCTTGGAGGTCTTCTAGTCCAGCCCCCTGCTTAGGCAGGAAACCCTACACTACTTCAGACAAATGGTTATCCAACATCTTCTTAAAAACTTCCAGTGTTGGAGCATTCCCAACTTCTGGAGACAAGTTGTTGCACTGATTAATTGTTCTAACTGTCAGGAAATTTCTCCTTAGTTCTAAGTTGCTTCTCTCCTTGATTAATTTCCACTCATTGCTTCTTGTCCTGCGCTCAGGTGCTTTGGAGAATAGATTGACTCCCTCTTCTTTGTGGCAGCCCCTAAGATATTGGAACACTGCTATCATGTCTCCCCTAGTCCTTCTTTTCATTAAACTAGATATACCCAGTTCCTGCAACCATTCTTCATATGTTTTAGTCTCCAGTCCCCTAATCATCTTTGTTGGTCTTCTCTGCACTCTTTCTAGAGTCTCAACAATCTTTTTTTATATCATGGCGACCAAAACTGAATGCAGTATTCCAAGTGTAGCTTTACCAACGCATTATAAAGTTGTATTAATACTTCACGTGTTCTTGATTCTATCCCTCTGTTTATGTAGCCTAGAACTGTGTTGGCATTTTGGCAGCTGCTGCACACTGCTAGCTCATATTTAAATGGTTGTCCAGTAGGATTCCAAAATCCCTCTCACAGTTACTGCTATTGAGTGAGGTACCACATACTGTATATTGTACCTGTGCATTTTGTTTTTCTTGCCTAAATGTAGAACCTTACTTTTTTCACCATTGAATTTCATTTAGTTAGATAGTGCCCAATGTTCAAGTCTGTCAAGAATGTTGGCTATTCCTGCCAACTTGGTGTCATCTGCGAATTTGATGAGTTCCCCATCTATCCCCTCGTCCAAGTCATTGATGAAGATGTTGAAGAGTACTGGCCTAAAACAGAGCTTTGGGTACTCCACTGCATACTTCCCTCCATGTAGATGCAGTTCCATTGAGGGCTACACGTTGAGTGCCGTTGGTCAGCCAGTTACAAATCCATCTGGTGGTGATGCTGTCTGACCCACATTTTTCTACTTTATCTAGTAGTAGGTTATGGTCTACTATGTCAAATGTCTTACTGAAGTCCAAGTAAATTACATTGACAGCATTCCTCTGGTCTACTAATTTTGTCACTTTGTCAAAGAATGCAATAGGATTAGTCTGGCATGATTTGTTTTTGACAAACCCATGTTGGCTTTTGGTTATTACTTTGTTTGCTCCCAGGTGTTCACTAATTCATTGCTTGATTATATTTTCCAGAATTTTCCTTGGTATTGAGGTCAGGCTGATAGGCCTGAAGTTTCCTGGATCTATTTTTTTTTTCCTTTTTGGAATATGCTTAGCTCTTCTCCAGTCGTCTGGCAGTTCCCCGGCGCTGCAGTATCTTTGAAAGATATAGTTCAATGGTTCTCAGATCACATCGGCCAGTTCCTTCAGAACCTTGGGATGTAATCCATCTGATCTTGGTGATTTGAACTTGTCTAGGGTAGACAGGTGGTCACCATTTTCTTCCCTATTTTAACTTGTGTTCCTAATCTGTTTTTTGTGGTGCTGTTTTTGATAGGTTGGACTGTTTTTTCCCTTTGTGTAAAGACAGATGCAAAAAACGAGTTAAGTAGTTCTGCTTTCTCCCTGTTGCTTGTCACCTCCTTGCCACTTTCTCCCAGCAATGGACCAAATGTTAAGCTGACCAATTTGTGCAGCTTAACTTCAGAATTCATAATGAAGATGATGATAACACAGCCTGATCAAGTCAGTTTACATAGGTTATTTCCCAGTAAACATTAAAACATAAAATTAGAAACTGAAAGAATAGGCTTCCAGTGAATTCATGACAAAAGTGGCATTTTAGTTCAGAATTTTTGTGTGCACAACCTAATTTTCTTGTCATGCTTCATGTAGTCTGTTATTTTCTTTATTTCCATAGGGAGTCTGTGAAGAAATGACATATGAAGAAATTCAGGAAAATTATCCATTAGAATTTGCTTTGAGAGACCAGGACAAATACAGATACAGATATCCTAAGGGCGAGGTTTGTTAAATTTTACTTCTTGCAAGCTTGAAGATGCAGAAGTCCTTTTGTAAGCGTTTCAAAAGAGAAATGTTTTGAAATAAAGGGAGTTTATTGCCTCTTTCTCATGAGGAAGCTTTTCCGCAACTTCTTCGTGTTGTTGCTAAATTAGAAACCAATTTCTCATTTGTGTAGGAAATGTTAATTAACAGCAACAGAGCTCTTTTGTTTGTAACTTAAAAAGCTATCCTACATATTATAGAGTTCAAATTTTAAGCAGGGCTGAAAAGCTTCTTAAACTGTTTTGGAGAAGGAGGAAATAAATCTGTTTCCATTTCAGACTTTGGTTCAGTGATTTTGATGAGGGGTAATGCTGGCCATCCTGCAGCCGTACACCCAGGGCCCTCTGATGGAACATGCATCAGCGTTTTCATGTGCTTTCTCTAAGTAGAGTAACACATTTTAAAACCACATGTTCGAGGGTCAGTTAATTGCTTGTTAGCCTGCCCTTTTACAGGCTGCCACTAAAAGTCAAGCATTAATCAAAAGCACCAATAAAAGCAGCTGCTAACAGTATTTGTTAAAAGTGCAACATACCTTAAATCCATGTATCATGTGTTGGCTGAATGATCATAATGTTCAAAACGCTGCAGGAGTACAGATGGCATAGAGGCAATCAAGCTATAATGGATGTTATGTAAGATGGAAACATTTTTTGGAGCTGATTGTAGAGAGAAAGGATGTGTGTTTTTCAGTCAATAGCTGCACATCTTCTTAATGACTACTGCTGGGTTAACTTTGGTTGTGTGCTGTTCACGTGTTCCTTAGCAAAGCAAAAATGTATGTTTTGATAAAGCATTAGGTGGCTGCTGCCTTCCACTTTATCAGCTGATCTACTTACAGTAGTTTTCCAAAACTTTTGTTCCATTTTTGCGGTTACAAAAGATATAGCTTCTTAAAAATTAATTTCTGTAGCAGAATTCGTGTTTTTGAAAACTGTCAGCAAGAACACATTTCATTACTTTTACATAAAAACAAGGTAAATGCTAGCTGTATCAATTAGCCAGCTATTTACAAAGTTTTTTGCATAAGAAAAAATAAACATTAATGTGTAAACATTGAAATAGACAAAGAATAAAGTGACAGAATCAGTCTGTAATCTTCTGCAACTGAAATTCTGTAGTATGGAAATCATCAAATACAGAAAAACAGACACAGATTGCTTAGAAAATAATGGATGCAGAGAGGAAGAATGATGTTGAAATCATTTCATGTAAGTCAGTAATTACTTGGTAGTTGCCATTAATCTACCACTTGGATTTTAAGCACAAGATAATGATTAAAGGTTACAAAGAAAAAATACCTCTGTAGGATTGGATCCAGATAGAGCATAAACCTCTCTAATATACAACAGTGCAGCCTAAAGTAATTACTTGTTTAAAGCAACACTTTAAGAGTTGCATTGATTTTAATGAGTTGTTTCCTAAAAGCATCTGCATTTTTTTCAGTTTCACATGGAAGTTTAAAAAAAGATAGGCTTCCCATCTTATGCGAGATCAGAAGCATTTGTACCATTATAGTATTTTAAAGAGTGCATAGGTGGCACTATTTAACCTACCTTAGAGCAAATCAATTTTATTATAAAACTATGATCATTTATACATATATCCATATTACCATGATTTTTTTTTGCTATTGTTTTTCCAGTCCTATGAAGATCTTGTTCAAAGGTTAGAGCCAGTAATTATGGAGCTGGAAAGGCAAGAAAACGTGCTTGTAATCTGTCACCAAGCTGTTATGCGTTGTTTGCTTGCTTACTTTTTGGATAAGCCTGCAGGTAGGTACCTTACAAATGGCCAGAGAGAATGCTTAAGATAGTGAGCAGTAACTTTCATTTTGATACCAGATAATTGCAGACAAGTGGTACATATTTAGGATACCACTGTGTTAGTAGTTTTCAGCCTGTGGACTACAGACCAGTGGTGAAATCCTCTGCGGATTGCCACCGAATTGCTGCTCGCGCATGCACGGTGCATGCCAAATGCATGCTGCGTGCACTCGTGCAGTGTGCATCAAAAACACACTGTGTGTGCACGCATGCACAGTGCACGCCAAAAGTACGCTGCACGCACATGCACAGTGCGTGCCAAACGCATGCTTTGTGTGGAAAAAGGAGGCTTAGGAAGGTAAATAGAACAGCAAGTGTGGGGGGAACAACTGTGCCGCACGATTTAGCTTTGCTAGAAAGCAGGATTTCTAGCGAAGCTAAATCGTGCGGCACAGCTGATCGTTGGACATACCGGTTCGGACAAACTAGTAGCTTTTTTAAACTATCAGTTTGGCCGAACCGGTAGCTTTTAAACTACCGGTTCACTCGAACCGGTAGCATATTTTTTACTACCAGTTTACCCGAAGCGGTAGTTTTTATCACTACCGGTTCTCCTAAACTGGTGCGAACCGGTAGCATTTCACCCCCGCTGCAGACACTTGGGGCGCGTGTGATGTCATCACGGGCTTGCAAAGGCTTGAAGAAATGTTATGATTTAAAGCTCAAGTCTTAAGATTTATGGTCATGGTCTGTGGCCACAAAAGGTATTTAAAGGGGGTCCATGGTGAAGAAAAGATTGAGAACCACTTGTTTTTTTAGGTAGGTTAAAATATTTTCATTTGTTTAGTGATTTCAGTTTACCATTTCTTTATTCTTATGTTTCATCTGGCTAAGTCTTAGAATCTTATCTATGTCTGTTACCCATGGTAGCATTGCTTGTGTGCTCTTTGGTTTCTATTTAGTGAAGTGAGATATAAATATTAATCAGTAACCAACTTTATAGTCAATAGTCAGAAGATACTCTTTTTTATTTTGTTTTCTTCATTTATATATTTCAGAACAACTGCCTTATCTTAAGTGCCCTCTGCATACTGTCTTAAAGCTAACTCCAGTGGCTTACGGTAAGATATTCAAATTTAAGCTAAGCAAATTAATCAACTCTATTACGAAAAAAACGCTTTTCATTAGGTTACATCTATCAGAGGCAGACTATTAGTTCCTAGTTCTAACAGTTTTGTATATCAAAACAAATCACTTGTACTTGTTAAGCAAGTTACAGTTTGCATTAAACTGTTCAGTTCATCATAAATCAAAATGTTTTAAAATAGACATTGCTTCTATTCTTCTTGAGGCAAAGCTGGGAATTTGAATAACTAGATACTGCCACACAGTGGTGTGGTGTGAATTACTCTATTCAGTATCTTCAGAAGTGTGGCCACTCAAAATGCTTCACATAGCCTCCTTGATTAGTGTTGATTTTTCTTTAGAAATATTTTTAGTATTCTTGTAGGTACTGGGATTTTAGTAAGCCTGTGCATTTGTGTGTTGTGTGTATTCCGTGCCTTCTTGTTTCAAAAGGGTAGAATCCAAAAAACGAATTGTTGACAGTGTTGGTAAAGCCTTGGGGTGCTTCCAGAGTCTAAGAATTGTAGCTGAAATGTAACTTTTAATATGATAGAATGGAAAATTATTAATTAAAGGAAGGAATATACTACCACAGAGCCTGAATGATGAGTCATGGATTTGCCTTTATAGTTTTATTGGTAACATATAGAAGTGGATGACTACTGCCTTCTTTTCTAATTTTTTTTCAACTTTTCCATCCAGCCTGCAGTTGTCATGTAATCTATTGGAGTCCCTTTCTGATGCTAGCTGGGCCTGACTCTGCTTAGCTTACTTATTAAACCTAATTTTTACTTTGTCATACTATTTCAACCAGGGTGAAACAAAATTGTAATTAAAATAATTTTAAAATGCCACTTAGTTTAAATAAAAAGCAATATTATTACTTATTAAAAGAAGAGGAGGGAGGGAGGGACATTAAAATTTGGAGTTTCTGAAGAAAACATTTAAAAAAAACGATAGAGATACTCCTGTAACTTAGTTACACTTCAAACAAAAAGAAGCTTGTAGTGACCTCTAGTGTCCAAAAAGCTGCAGTTATTGCAGATAAATGTATTACTGTATGTTAAAGGCAGGCTTTCATTTTTAGAATAGAGTAGGGTGCAAAATGAAGCAAGGGCAAGCAGGGCAAACCACTAGTATATAAAATGAGAGCAAACCCTACTCCCTACTAGCACTGATGATGTTACCTAGTTTGGTTAATGAAACATCTGCAACAAAAGTTCAGCTAACAAATTCAAGCAATCTGTGGACAAAAAGTCGTCCAGTAAAATTGAAGGACATTTTCATTTCAGCCATGGCTTAGAACAAGAATATATTTTCAATATCAGAATTGAAGTTGTTCTTACATCCCGAAAGCCACTCCCAATTTGCATTCTCCAATTCAACAACCTGACTTAAAGGCATGCATGAAAGTCTAATCAATATTTTTAGGGAAGGTACTCAACATACTTTCAACATGCAATCAAATGTTTTACAATAATTTACAAACCCCCCCCCCCCAATGTCTGTCAATATGAATGTTGCTACAGCTGCTGAAAATTGCTATTCATGATTCTTGGGAGAAAGCTCAAAGTTGCATTGGAAGGGGTACTATGTCTGCCATTTGTATGCCAGAGTGTCGTAGGAGGAAACTTTATAAAGCAACCTTACTCTGAACAGATGCTACAAGTGTTAACAAATCTTAACCAGAACTATTTTTAACCAGTATTTATTTGTGTCAAATTATATTATCCATTGGATATAAAAGGAAAAAATTATTGTTATGCTGTTGATATTGTTCTTTTTTAGTGAATAAAATATATTAAATATGAAAATGTTGATTTCGCCTACAGGTTGCAAAGTGGAATCTATTTTTCTAAATGTTGAGGCTGTAAATACACACAGGGATAAACCACAGGTAGGTCTTCTTACCGAATATGAATTTAAAACTTTACAAGAAGCTGGAAGAAGTATTAAAGTAGAAAACCTGCCAGTAACAGAAGAATTAAGCACTCCGTGCCCCTTTCTTGGCTACATCTTCCAGATTTCTTCTTCCCAAAGTATATTTTTCTAAAATGTACTTTTTAAAAAATAAGGTAGCAGGAGAGCATTGTAAAAAAAAATCTGAGTTTCATACCTTCTTTGATTCCTGGAGTGGGGATTCACAACCATCCAGAATTTCATATTTGGGAACACTGATAAAACAGTTTATCTGATAAGTGGAATGTGAATTTGATGACTTTTAAAAAGAATTCTGCATTAAACTCACGAAAATGTTAAAGGTGTTATACAAGATTTCAGGGGTGAATGGCTTCTATACACATCTGTATCCCTCAATACAGTGTAGACAACACCTCTGTAGTACTCAGATACTGTATATTGCCATTCAATGAGAGATCCCATTCTTTTAATGTAAGGGAAAAAAAGATTTCAGATTTGTAGGTACTTTAGTACTTTCTCTGCAAGCACCTTGTCCTGATCCTAATTTCAACAGTCTCTGTTTTGCCTTGTGCTCTACTACAGCAACCCTGACTATGTCATGTCAAATAGCATTGCATTAGTTCAGTTTCCAGTATCTGTATGTTTTATGTAAAATGTACTACATTATTTTGGAATTTTTTTTGTTATCTAGATTTTGAAAGCCACCTGTTGCTCATTCTAGAACAACAGCAGCAAAGATTTTTGTGTCCGACTGGTTTGGAAGCTTATTTTTGATATTAAAATTCTAGAATCACCATAATTCATAGGCACTCTTTTTTTAATGCAAAATTATGGTTATTCTTTTTCTCTTTCTCATACACATAGACACACATCATTGTTTAGTGATTGACTTCAGTTTGTGACACTTGGATTTATATGAAAAGTCTCTCATCTATTTTACTCATACTTCCTAACATGAGGATGGAAGGCTCTGCTAACAAAAACACAAATGCAATTTTAACTGAGTTAAAATATCGTATAAATGTTTCTGTGTGCAGCATTACTTTTCATGTTTTGATTCTGTCTATGCTACCAGTACTATGATTTACTACTAGGTCCATATAGTCAAACTATGGTTTGTTTAATTTTGGTTTAATTATTGTGTGAACAAACACTTGTAGTTTGTACCCCTTAGTTCGTGGTTGATATCTGATGGTTTGTTCATTAAATCAAAATATAGTTTAATAAGATATATGAACCCAATCAGGAAGACAGGAGACCATGATTGTACTCTTGGCTTCAGTGGAAATCAAGTATATCAAGCTAAGTTAATAACAGGAAAGTGGAGAGAGAGAGAGTAAATAAATGTATCCATAATAGTGTGTTCAGTACGTATTTTCATGTGTGTTAGTTCATAGCTGCTTTTTAAAAGTTTTTAAAAAAGATAGAATGTTCAGAAGCAGAACATTGATGATCATAACTGCTTTGGTTCAAATGGCTTGTTGATTGATAGCTAGTTTCAGTCAGTTAAAACAGTTGTTTGTAAAGGAAATTTGTAAGTGATTTTTTTCAGGATCAGTAATAGAGTTGCAAGTTGCTTGGGAAGGGATGGGTGGTAGTTAACTCCTGATTGAAAGAGGGAGTAGTTCACTCCCTCCTCAAAGAACTATCACTATCCAAGCTGGATAGTTTCTGCCCAGTTTCCATCCTTCCCTTCTTAGGGAAGGTGGTGGAGAGAGTGGTCGAAAGGCATCTGCAGAGGACCTTGGATCAAGCCGATTATCTTGATGCTTTTCAGTCGAGATTCAGGCCAGGGTTTGGGACTGAGATTGCGTTGGTTGCGCTCATGGGTGACCTCTGGTGTGAGTGGGATGGAGATAATGCATCCATCCTTCTTGAACTCTTGGCATCATTTAATACGATCAATCATGGTATCCTTCTAGGCTGGCTTGGGAGTTGGGGTGAGTGGCACTGTGTTGTGCTGGTTCTCCTCCTTACTCTGGGATCAGTTTCAGTCAGTGTTGATAGGCGGGGAGAGAATCAGGCTGCAGCCCCTACTTTGTGAGGTGCCTCAGGACTTAGTTTCTCTCTCCTATTTAACATCTACATGGATGAGGTGATCCATCAGTTTGGGGTGAGATATCATCAATATATAGATGACACCCAGCTTTATATCTCCAGACCCCTTGACTGTTGCTGTGGCCATCCTATCCCAGGCTGTCCAAGTCTGGATGGAGCAAAACAGGCTCTGATTCAACCTCTGAGATGGAGAAGGTATTTGGAGCCTCTTGAGACAAGGTTTTTCCATCTCTAATTCTGGATGGGTTAACACTACCTCAGGTAGACCTAGTGCACAATCTGGGGACTCAGAGCTCTGGCTTGAAGAGCAGGTGGCAGCTGTGGCTAGGAGAGTTTATGCACATCTTTGGATGGTGCGCTAGTTGTGTCCATTCCTGCATCTCTATAGGACTAAGGAACTATTCACATATATATCACCATGTTGTTAGGATTTACATTCATATTATTGATCCCTATCCAGTTTGTGATCAAGAAAATTTTCTGCAGCTCTGGAGTCTTTTTGGCTTGGTAGGGAGAAATTGAAGGGTTGAAGCCCAGAGAGAGCTGGGTAAAGAGGCAGCATTGAGCTCTGTTTTATCATTCTCTTCATTGTGGACTCTGGACACTTGCCTATTGGACCTTTCTTCTGGACTCAGCCTGGGTTTTCTATTAACTGGAGAGTTGTTCCATTTTACTACTTACCTGAACAGGAAGGGAGAGACAGAAACAGCTTGCGTGCAGGAGTCTGATATTTACTATAAGGACTGGGATGGTTGGTAGTTGTCGGATATGTGTGGTATGGGTGGGTATAAGTGCCTTTGAAAGGAGAGCTAGGGAAGGGAGGACAGAGAGTGGAAAGCAGAAACTTCAAGATTGTGACAGGCAGGGATAGGTATGGTTGGAACCTGAGGGGCTACTGGGGTTGCTACTTGAGAGCTTGTCCAGAACCCAGTACTCAACCCACAAATCAAGTTATTGTGTCCTCATGCCTTGGGCTCTGACTGTTGCTTTTGAATGCCAGGTTGGTCTTTATAAAATCTGTTCTCGTTGATTTAGTCATGGATGAGGTGACTTATGTGGCATTATATAATCATGGTCTGTAGATAGGAGTTCTCTGTTGGAGATGTACTTGCCTAAGTTTTAAGTTTGACGTAACTTCAGCCAAAAAAAGTCAGAGTGATATTAGTAGAATGAGAGACGATAATGCTAAAGTAACAGACTAATGCAGGCAGTCCCTGGGTTAAGAATGTTTCATGTATAAACAACCTTACTTAAAAATGGCCTGCCTTTTACTAAAATGGTGGGCAGAGTTCTTCCTTGAGTCAATGAACCACTGAAGCTGCACATTTTTAATGTAGGGCCTATTTTCAGCAGTTCGACAGCTTGAGAAAAAAAGAACACCACCCATCATTTTTAGTAATAGGCAGCCCCTCTTGTGAGTATGAGTTAAAATTTGAATTTTAGAGCCTTGATGGTACAGTGGTCTACGCACCCTGTTATTAACACAGCTGCCTGCAATTTACTGCTGGTTCGAATCTCTCCAAGGCTCAAGGTTGACTCAGCCTTCCATCCTTTCTAAGGTAGGTGAAATGAGGACCCAGTTTGTGGGGGCAATAAGCTGACTTTGTATAAAATATACAAAAGGATGAAGGCTATTGCTTAACGCATTGTAAGCCACCCTGAGTCTCCGGAGAAGGGCAGCATATAAATCAAATTAAAAAAACAAAAACAAATTTCAGTTAAAGACGTTAGAAACTGAACTCATGCTTAATCTGGGGACTTCCTGGGTTCAAAGGAAGGCATGGCTAAATGACCCTGTGATATTGCATGGTTTTCTGTATGCAGATAGGTAGCCCATAAGGTCATTGTGATTTAGTGAGCAGAAGTAACAACTAATAATATAGTTCTGTACTACAGAGTCCCCAGACTTACACACAACAAGCCATTTGCCAGATAAATGAAAGTACTGCTAGGAAAGGGCTGATCTTTTAGGACAAAGTTTGCCAATTTAATAGCAACATATTAGAGATGGGTGGAAACAGGGGGTTTCCTCCAAAACAGGGATCTAAGTTGCTAAGCCTCATTGCCACCCACTGCCCCCACTAACCTGGACAATGTAAGAGAACAAGATTTGCAGGTATTTAGATATAACTATATGAATGACATTGGAGTATTTTTAAATTGTAACCTCTTCGTGTATGGGAAGAAGGTTGCTGGTGCTAAGCTGGAACTACAGAATTATTGTTGTTCTGTAAATCAATAGTATATGTTTATAAGAAAAACAGGCACAAATTTTGCTTGGTGAATTGCAATCATCCATTAATTTAAATTCAGGAGATTACTTGTGGAAACACTGATTGGCAGTCCTGCACGATAAATATTTTCTGTATTTTTATTATTATACAGAATGTAGACATTGTCAGACCTCCCGAGGATGCCCTTGTAACTGTCCCTGCTCACCTGTGAATCCTGTTTCCTGATCAGCTATGAAAGATGTGGTGCTGTTTTTATCATACTTTATTAATTTTCAATCATTCCAATCACTTTGGAATCAAATTCGAATATAGCAGTTTTTGTGTATTGCATGACTTGGAGATCAAATTGTTTTAGATATTTGAATTGAATAGTTGAATCATTAACAAGTTATTGTTCACTTCTGCTGAAATGTTATTAGTTCCTTTTGCAATATAACTTAATTATTGCTGATTTTTAATTTGATGTTTTATGTCCAGTAAAGCTCAGTTCAGTACTTTCAATGCCTAAGTTATTAATAGTTACAATACATTTGATAGTTGCAATAAATATAATAGAATCAGTGAGAAGATAGATGAATATTTTTCAGGTGATAGTGTGTTTAGTCTAATGTCATTGACCAAATTAATTCTATCATTAGAAATTATAATTCTGATTTATTTTAATGTATCTAAAAAGTTGTTTCCTATTAAGTGGGCAGTATTTTTAAAATGTTGGCCCATCTCCAACTGACCATCTTTACTTCCTAGGCTTCAAAGCTTTTTCTAAACCAGCTGAAGAGCATTGGTTTGGTTCCAAATGCTAGTCCACACAAGAGCATTAGTGACTATCCTTTCTCAGATGTATTGTGTTTCTGCATCTTTCAGCTCTGGCTCTTGATTTGCTGTTGCCCATGCTGCAGTGGATTTTGGAAATGTTCAGGAAAGTTATGGTCAGGATGTAGAGTTGCATGTTCCCATGGCTTCCACATTTGCTCTGCTGAATCCTATGTCCTCTCCCTTTAGGCTTTTCTGGCTCATATTCATCTTTGTGGCTTCTCACTAGGTTTATCATATCTGAGATGCAAAACCCAGATGATCATCAGATGGCAGCAAAAGCACGGTGTTTTAGGCATCTCTTTGCTGCCCTCTTGTGGCTGTCCCAAAATTTTGCATGCAGCATTTCTTGTATAGGTAAAGATAAAGGTTCCCCCGCACATGCATGCTAGTTGTTTCCGGCTCTATGGGCGGTGCTTATCTCCGTTTCTAAGCCGAAGAGCCAGAGCTGTCAGAAGATGTCTCCGTACAGGACCATAATAGCATATCCCAGCAATATCTTCTTGACATAATGTGTCATATTTGACCTTATGTTTAAGATTTGTTAGTCATTGAATGAAAAAGTTGGTGCAAGGGGGAGTCTCATGGGCACTAAAAAAGACCCATTTTGTAATCTTTCACTATATCACTACTCTGCTAGCCTGTTTGAAAGTAGGTGTTTTGGTAAAAGGTTGTGCTGTTTAATAGTTTGCTTGATTCAGGGTTAGGGTTAAGGTTACAAGATAATAGAAATTAAACTATATGTCATGTATTCACTTAGATACCAACCAATCTGCAGCGTTCGGCAGGATATAGTCAGGTGGTGGTAACTGAAAACAGGGCCTATGTGCAAGAAAATCAACATTTATTACAAACCTTCTCTAATGAAGGAAAAAATTGGACAGTATTACTGATGAAACTGTCATGTGATTTGCTAACATAGGAAGTTGTAGTGCTTCATAGATTGTGGCCTAGAAAAAGAGATTTGGTTGAAAGAGGAGGAGAGGTGGGTGGATTTAGATGAATGACTCAGAAGTGGTGATTCTCCTGTGCTTGTGCATGTATATTGAAAATAAAAACTTTGCTGTCTGTTTAGGTTATTTGAAGAGCTAAAAACATTGTGCTGTGCATGATTCTAAATTCATGTTAGTTAATGGTGAAAAATAGTCTTCTGCTATACCTACTGAAAACAATATGTGGGCCCCAGGAGTTCATATTGAATAAAACCCATAATCTCTTGAGTTGGCAGTAACTTGAGCTTGTGAAAAAGTTTATTGACTATGTCAGCCAGTGGGCAGCTGCTATTATTCAGTGTATAATCTTGAACCAGACTTCTTTATAAATTCTCCCACTCCTCAATTCTAGTGTTGCGAGAGAATAAAAATTTTGATATATTATGCGTGGTTTTATGTATCTATAACTTCTGGTAAAGTCCCAAACCCCAAAGTTGTCATCTGAACATAATTTGGAACGCTGACATTCTCATGGCTTCTTGGTCTATGTATTTTATTCTATGTCTGAAGGTAGCTGCTTGGGGAGCATCTCTAGAATACAATGTGGGTCTGCAACAGTAGTTATCTTCAGAAATATAAGGAATTTATTAGATCTGAAGATCTCTAAAGGCAACTTATCTTCGGATGCAGTTAAGCCAAATTACTCATTTATTACTGCTTAAGAGAGCATTTTTCTAAGAGGTTAATCTCAGTGCAGGGTTACTGTCTTAATTCCCTAAATTTATCAAGAGAATCTTCTTGATCAGGCCAGAGTTAACCTTGGACTGTGAACCGCTTAAAGCTTGCTAACCAATTCTTCTTATTTTATTTTCAGAATGTGTGTGTGAGCCGCTCTCGAGAAGAAGCCTTGAGGACTGTACCTAATCATTTGTAGCTCTCTGGTCTCCCAGCACTGTCCCAGGCTGCTATCCAATGTCAACATTAAGGACACTTCTCAGGGACACGATGATGAAAGCCTTCAAAGGAGGCAGCCAGCAAGGCAGAAAAATGCCTGCTCTCTTCTTTTAAAATGGATTTCAAGACAAACTGAGCATTAAGTCAAAAATGTACCGAGTATTTATGGAACACAGGATGAAATTAGTTTTAATTTAATATATTTTGTCTTTAGCCTGTCATTTTTGATCTTGAATGTTATGTGTATAAATCGTGAGGTGTTATTTTGAGATTCTTCTAGAGTTAGAATATTTTCTTAAACTGGTCTTTTTCTGTTAAAAACAATCCTCCTCTGATTATTTTATTCAAAATTTATGCACATGAAATTTTAAGCATACCAAAAGTATTTTAAACTTTTTCATCTACTAGACAGGATATTTATCATCTCCATCCAACTTCATTCAAGTTTTTTTTTTTCATTTCATAATTACATTGCTTTGGTTGATAATACAAAAAGCTACATGTTTATAATTATTCAATGTTATAAAGTGGACTATTAAAATTTCCAGTTTTTGGGGTGGGACAGTAATGCTGTAGCAGTTGGTATTTATAACACCAACTTTCTAAATAATTTTATTAAAGATTCTATTTCCATTTTAGCATCTAAAATATTTTCTCTTTTATGCTCCTATTATAAAGTGCTCCAGAGCCTCCTAGATAATTTATTCAAATGATTTTTTGATCGAAAATAACAGCAGATTTCTTTCTACTTCATATACAAAATAAAACCATTTTCAAAGCCCCTCTTTTTTAAAAAAATCTCTAATTCTCTTTAAGAATACTGATGGATACTCTAGCCAAAGTTGGCCCGCATATTATTCATAATTTCCATAAGCACTATTTTATACAGGGGTCCCAATCCTTGGGCCATGGCCTGATACTGTGTCGTGGTCTATTTGGAACTGGGCTGTACAAGCGGTGGGCGAGCTTGCACAGCTCCACTTGTGCAAGCTGCAGTCTTGCATACTCATACACAAAACTCCCATTTGTGCAAGTGCGTTCACCTGCTGCACTCTCCTTTCTCACCGCCAGTCGCCAGTCCATAAAGCTGGAAAGGTTTGGGACCACTGATTTTTTATATCCTTCAAGGAAATTCCTGTAAAGTCTATGAAAATTAAAATAATCTTACATGGATAAGAATAAGACAATAAAGTAAGAATGTGGAACATGGTGGTTAGAGGTCCAAAAATCTTAGTGCAATGTGCACCACCAGTTTTGAGAAACACTTAATCTGATTTAAGTTCATAGAATTGATGCACTTCTTCATTTTCCTTAAACCAAAGATAAGGTATTAACTTGTTTTGAATGTTTTTTTGCGGTGAGGGTGGGGGATAGACAACTATCGAGTCCCTCCATTTTTCATTTAAAATGTAGGCATAGTTAAGTTGAAAGATATTTTTTGGAGGATATTTTATGGAGGAGCTAGCAGATGTCATGCACTGAATACCATCAACAAGTTCAGGCAATGGTGGAAGGTTTCACTCCAGGGGTGAAATACTACCTGTTCGGACGAACCGGTAGCGATGGCAGCGGGTGGTCCGGAGAACTGGTAGCGACAGCAGCGTGAGGCTCTGCCCACCCGCCAGGTTGTTGTTACTTCCTGGTTTTAACCAGGAAGTAACCTGTTTTTTACCCTCTGCGCATGCACAGAATGGTTTGCGCATGTGCAGAGGGTCCGCATGCACACGTGATGCGGCATGTGCACTTCCAAACTGGTAGGGAAGGTAAGTAGATTTCACCCCTGTTTCACTCCCAAAGTAAATAACAATGACAGTTTTTCAAATTGTCTTTTTAAGATTTTGCAGGACTATGAAATCTTACAAGATTTCATTCATCTTAATCCATTCTTGCCTGAAACTTTCTGACATATCAGCATCTGAGACATTCATGCAAGAATTTCAAAATGCTGAAGATTTGGAAAATGGCACATGATTCCTGCCTTTTTAATTTTTTATATGCTTTTAAAACATTAACGGGGTGTGTGGACACAGATGTTTGCAAGAACTTTGTTGCTAAGCCCTGATTTAGCATTCTGGAGTTCTTTCACAAAAGAGAAGCAGCACATCCTTCAGCCCTGTCACTGCCACCACCACCACCATTTTTGGGGATTAGCATCTATACTGCTCTTCCTCCTATATGACTTGAGAGGAAAGGGGAGAGATGGGATAACTGCTCCTGTAGTTGGATTCTCAAAGATCCACAGAAGAATGCAGGTTAATTTGCAGAATTTTAACATCCTGCTTTTGAATAGAATTTGTACAGAAGCAATTCCTCTTTGAGTTTGCACGTTAAGTCATGTATATATTTGTATTAAATCATTATATAATGTCGTTATTTGTGTAATAGAAATCAAGCAGCAGATTAGATACCTGTTAAGTTGTTGAAACAAAAATAATTTTGTCCTTACCAGTTGGAAGTGTTTTTAAAAATCCCACTATCTATATAGATATCTTATTGAACCATACTATCCTAGTGGTAAAAGCTCTGTGCAATGTACTGTGTTAGCTTTGCAGATGAGGGTCAGTTAGTTTCTTTTATTTTTTTAGTCGCTGGTGCTATCACGTATGTTGTGGCCATGCTGTGAACTCCTTGTTTTGCAATGCATTCTGTGCTGTAGAAATAAGCCAGAAAGTCAAACTTACATCAAAAGTGGTGATAAAATAGAAATTATTTAAATAACATATAAAAAGCACTTGAGCTGTATTTTATCATAAAATGACTTTTGCATTGTAAAGTATTTATTCAGGTAGATAATCATTTACTGTGTTTACCTGACTGGAAGAAACACTCCCCCCCCACCCCAATATCTCTGAATTCAGTCACTTATTGGAAAGGTGCTATTGAAAATAACATAGAAGATGAGAGAGAGAGACTGCTTTTCTGTAACGCCTAAACAAGGCTTTTCTCTCTCTCTCTCTCTCTCTCTCCTGTCCCCATCCAAATATACCTCCCACTTGTTTTTATTTTCCAGGGAAATCACCCCAAAACTCTGTTCCATCCACTTTCCCCCTTTTCCCCACTTTCATTAGAAGGAAGGAGGTAGGTAAGTGTATGTATACATACATATTTGTCTGTGTAAGACAGACAAATATCAGTGTGTGCATGATTGACATGCACACAGGGAATTGATTAATAACCTTTGTTCTGATCCTGTCTTTATTAAGACTTCATTTTAGAAGATACATGAGCACAGCTGCATGGATGCCTAACATACACAAGTGATGTGTATACATAATACATAATGCATGTGCATACATCATACATAAACATAGGAGAGGTGAGGAAATCTCCAGGATTGGTTTCATTTGGCTTCCCATAAAATCTCCAGGATTGGTTTCATTGGCTTCCCATAATATAATATGTTTGCTTCCCCCCCTTTTTTTTTGGGTGGATAGGTTACCTTCTGTTTGGATAAATACGAGCAGTTCTTGGCTTACATTTAGCAACAGTTTGAACCTCTGACAATGTTCAACAAGTGGTTCTTACAACAGGTCCTCAGAGATCCAGCCGTTGCACTGCTCCCTCTGTCACAAGATCACAAATTTCGATATTCCCTGCCAGCTTCCCACAAACAGGACAGAAGCTGGCAGGAAGCCGGAAGTCATGTGAGGTCCTTGCTTAACAACAGCCTGGACTGCCAGAACTGCCATCACTAAGTGGTCCCAATTGCTGTTGTAAATTGAACACTGCCTCTACGGTACTAAAGGGACCAGGAAAAACACCATTGTATTTTAATAGGTCTCTCTTACTTAGCAGTAATGTTTTATCATGATACTTTTTGAACTTCTCTGGATGTGGGGTACTGAGGGGAGATGTTAATTTCTCTAAAAGTTGAGGGTTATCCAGAAGAAAAATGTGTAGATGTATAAATCTCTTGAATTTTGTAAAAAATACTCATTCCTACAAAATGAGTATTTTCTATAAATGATTTTACTCATTTCTAAATGAAGGCAGTAGACTATCCATTGAAAATGTATCATTACTTCATAGAGTCTCTTTATTGAAGAGAACTATTTGTTTGCATATCTTCATATTTTTTTAATGTGTACAACTCAGTGGCTAAATATTTAATGTATAGTAGATATTTTTATAGGTTATATCTAAATATACTTTGTTAACTGTGGTTTCTTCTATTCAGAGAAAAGGCCATATAACCGAAAAAAATAATTGTATGCAATACAAATTATAAATTTATGTTGATACTTGAAAAGACTAAGAAGTTGTTGATTCTGATTTAACAAGCTGTGATCTTAAATACAAAATTTGGAAGTAAACCTCTTGAAATTAGTTGCACTATCTTCCAAGTAAATAAGTCCAAAAATCATAAATCATAAAAACTGTTTACTATCAGTTTCAAGTAGATAAACTTGTAAACCTTCAGAATATCTGCTGAATATTTTGTTTCACAGGACTTACTACCTTTTTTAAGAGTAAAAAATGAATTATAGAAACATGTGAATCTTAAACAAGAAGCCATTATTGGCATTTGCTTAATGTGTGAAATAGCTTATAGAAATAATATGGAAATGAGAATGTTATAAATGTTTCTTTTCTCAATTTGTATTACTGATTCATATGATTTTGAATTAAATTTTAATTCAGATATGATTGTTCATTTATTTAATGCAGATTTTTCAACTATAGTTGGGCAATTTATTACTTTATTAATTGCCATAAGAGATGTGTTAAATCTTTCTCCAAAACAATAAAATATTGGTTCTAAATTAAAGTGCACTTTAATTTCTTTGTAAGTTGAATTTTGCTACCATATTTAAAATCACCATCTTAAATCATCTGATAAATATTTGTAAAAAGTCTGTCCAAGAAAGCATGTTTTGATGATATACTACATTATTGTATTTATATAAAATACACTACCGTATTTTTCGGAGTACAAGATGTACCTTTTTCCCCCCAAAAAAGAGAGTAAAAATCTGGGTGGATCTTATATTCTGAATGTAGCTCCGCCCAGCCTCGCAAACGGAGATTTCAGAGGCTGAAAGAAGCCTCTGAAAGAAGCTTCAGAAAAAGCCTCAGAAATGAAGCTTCAGAAAAAAAGCCTCTGAAAGGCTTTTACCTAAAATAATATGGCAAGCAACAAAAGAAGAATCAGTAAAGGTTCTAATCAAACTATGTTAACAAATCTGGAGAATGACAAAATAACCAACAGATCGAAAGAGGTTAATCTACATACCAATACCAAAGAAAGGAAATTGAACAGAGTACAGATAGTCCTTCAGAATAAAAGTCTCTGAAAGAAGCTTCAGAAAAAAAGCCTCTGAAGTTTCAGAAAAAAAGCCTTTTTTTCTGAAGCTCTGTTTCGGAGGCTTTCAGAGGCAGAAAAAAAAAAGCAAGGAACAGAGCTCACAACCAACAAACTTGTTACTAAAATTCACCTCTGGAAAAAGCTGATTGGGGATATTCCGGGAGGCCAATCCACCCACCAATCAGCTTTTTTCTTATTTTCCTCCCCAAAAACTAACTCATTCTCCGGTGCATCTTATAGTCCGAAAAATATGGTATTTTAAAATAAGTGAATGTGAAAAAAACCTGTCAGCTTCCTTTAAAGACTCAAATGTTTTACATCTTGTATGAACAATTCTTGTGGAATTCAATTTGCAAACTTGCAGAATTTACTGCATTTAATTATATAAAGATCGATGAAGTTTCATTTGATTATCAAGAATCCATTAAGTTGTAATAATGCTTCTGCTGACTTTAAAGACAATATGTATGGAATATGCTTGAGATTGTGACTTTGCCCTTTCTAACAGTAGTGGTTCTACTAATGCCTGTTGTATTCAGCAGCTTTGGATCCCACTGACCTGTGCGGTATTACCGAGACTGCTCTTTGTGATGGGTATAATAAGCAAGGTATACAAGGTTGTTTCTGACTTAACAAGCTTCACCTTCTCTGTCAGGTTATTCCTTGGAGTTTGTTTGGCGATTCTAGCAGGGGACTTACTATACACCCTTGAGAGAAGATCAGTAGACTCCTTTCTGGGATGGTTGTCCTCTTCCACCAACTGCACAGCTTTAGGAAGGATGCATAGGAAGCTGTAAGGGAGGAAGGGGACACCTGTCTAGCCAGCCAGATTAGCCAAAACAACCCTGGTGAAGTTGAAATGGCAGATATCCCATCCTGATTGCCCTCTCGCATCCCGATTCTGTGGAATCTATGCAGTTGGTCCCTGAATTCTTTCGTCCCTGCTTTTGAACATCCAAAGTTGCATCAAAGCACATGTAATGAAGTGACATCAGCATGCTAACAGCATACTGCTCTCTATGCACACATTAAAACATTTTTTTCTAATTTCTAATAGTATTAAGCTAGTTTTAGTTTCACCGAGCAGCTTATAGTGATGTTTTATTAATGTATAGAGACAGAGTTTGGTTTTGTTTATACAAAATCACTATTTTCAATAATTTCATCTGCTGATTCAGCTTTTACACAGTAAATGCTTCAAATAACATTTGCATTTAGATAATTAGCTATTACTGTGAATCTAAATTTGAAATATCTAGTAAAATAGATGCACAAAAGTTGTATCTGAAGATTGGCAATATTCTACCCTTTACATTTCTGTTTTTCTGATGCATCGATAGTGCTAATTAGAAAAAGTTTCTATTCCAGTAAGCAATCTATATATATAAAAGCAAAAACCACTCTTGCCATAATCACGAAATCTCCAGAACCATAAAGCCTACAAACTTGAAATTTGCCACGTATGTTCCTCTTGGCTTCTAGGTGCTCACTAAGAAAGGATTTTTTGAAATGACCATCAGAGCATTAGTATTTCCTATATTATGATTAACATGCTCTGATGCTAAGGAGTTCTACTCCCCCTCCCCACCTGAAAAATCTATTCCAAATGCAAAACACAAGCAGAGGAGATGAGTTTCACTTTCAGTTTCACTTTCACAGCAGCAACCAGGGGATAGGATAGGGGAGGCTTCTGGGGGCAAGCTTGAGGGACAGAAGGGGATAGGATAGAGGAGGTTTCTGTGGGGCAAGGCTGAGGGAGAGAAGGGGATAGGATAGGAGATGTTTCTGTGGGGCAAGAATGAGGGAGAGAAGGGGAGAAGAGAGGCCGATCATAATTACTCATTAATTTTCAAGCTGTGTCGATTTATCAAGACCGATCACATAGTTTTGTAGTGAAGCACAGGTATCCATCTAGTAATATATATGTTTGAAAATTTGAGACAGTAACTTAGGTACAAGACGTAAAAATCAGATGAAGTGAGAGAACAACAGAACACATTTATTTACATTTTAAGTGTCGTCAAGTCTTTCAAGAATAGGAAAAAACAATTCTGTCTTCAAGTTTCAACTGTTCTATACATGTTACCATTGTCTCTACTAAAAACATTTTGTTATAAAGTAAAAAAAAAGCCTTGTCATAACAAACTGCACATTTAACTATTCCTATAGAAACCAGATAACAATCTCACCAAGGGTTCTTAAATGATGACACAACTTATATTGGCCTACACTAATGGACAATCTAATGGGCAATTGGTAGGTGCTATCTGTAGATCATGTCCAATGACATCAAAATATTCATGAGTCTAAACTTGTTCAGTCTCTGCACATTGTAAGGGGTTTCCAAGAAATACACATTTTGCCTCACAGAAGCTTTATTTATTTCCAATTTTTGTTGCTAAAATGCACCTGCAAAACTCAGTTGTGTGCTTTGGGATTGCTCATTTTTTCTGTTCCAAAATCAAAATTCTACTTCAATTGTTCTCAAATCAACTCAAGGTTCATTTGCCAGGCTTATTTTCTTTGCCTCATTATCTTTTGTTCTATATCTTTGGAAAAGGGTGCATATATCTGTTTACTCAGAAATAACTTCGACTGTTTTATGGGATTTCTTCCATCATGAATTTTAGATTGTAAGATGCAAGTTTAGTTTAGCAAAGCATTAAAATTAGCAAGTATATATATATATATATTGGGGTACTCTTTATCTATTAAATTTATATACTGCCTGATTCCCAGCAACTGAAGATGGTTATCCAATGGCAAGTATGTATTTTTAAGGTGCCACCAAACACTTGATTCTAATCAATGAACACAATTACATATTGTGGAAGCAAACTAGAAAAGGGCATTTTAAAAATTCAATTTCATGATTTTTAATAAATTTTTATCCAGGAACTAAAAGAAAATAAAATTTTAAGGAAGGATACATGTTACAGGAAGCAGTATTAACCAATAGCACTTATTAAAAGTACCAATATTTGAAGCCCAGATTTCACTGAATAGATTGTCAAGCCATTTTGCTTGATGAGAATTAATGTGTTAGCTGTCTCACTGTATTTAAAAGATATCTTCATAATCAATATCTCCCCTCTTAAGAAAAATAAAGCACACCCGCAACACACATTGTCCAAAGAAATAACTACATTCAAATAATAACACACATACATGTACACTTTCATGGCTGCAGAGAAAATCATATGCACATAATTCACAAGGATACTTCAGTCTTACAAGATAAAGTTTCTGCCAGTTGCTAAAGAATTAGCAGAAGTATTAATCACTACACACTTGGTCACAAGGTGAATGTCTTTCAGTCACATTCCATATGAAGAGCTGGAAAGCTTTCATTAGGGCTGTTCCTCAGAGTTCGATTTAATTAATTATTTTTCCAGAATTTGCTCAAATTTAGGGTTGATGAATGAAAAACCAGCAAATGCAGACTGATCCATAGAATCTATTAGGTTTTTGTCGCTGTGTGATAGTCGAGGTTTCTCACTCAAAAATTCTCTGTCAAAGTTGTTATAGTCACTTGCTGATTTCTGTAAAGAACAGAAGCAATTAAAAATAGCTGAAATGACCTACACTGCCAAGATTGTTAGGGCCTCTATTTGAGGGGCCTCAAATCCATGGAGTGTCAATTGTTGATGGTCTTTCTGCTCTCTCAAAACAACTCTTTGGTCATTCTGCTGAGTGGCCATGAACAATTTAACTCTACCTATTTTATAGACACTTCTTCCGGGAAGCTGTGACAAGAAAAATGGGTAGGCCAGGAATGTTTGAAGAATTGACTACAAACTCTAGCATGAACTAATTATGTGACAAATCTACAGTTCAAAACTTGGTTATTTACTGGATTTCACATTGTTCAGGGTTTTTGATATTTTTTAAAATGCTGATGATATTTCAAACAAAAGTAGTTTTTTTTTAAAAAAATATGCAAATTAAATATGTTACTATTAGTTACAGGTAAATAAAGTTAATTATCAATTTACAACTGGTCTCTTAAAGACCATTCAAAATTACAATGGATTTGAAAAAAGTCCTTGAATTTATGACTGCCGCGTCACCCCCACAGTCACATAATTGCAAGCCAGTTGCCAAACACTTGAAATGTATTTGTAACCAGTTGCAGCATCCCATGGTCACAAGATCACGTTTGTGCTATTTTCTGCCAAAAAATGCCTATTCAATAAGCTGGATTTGGACCTACCACCTCATGATTTGCTTAAAAGTTATGGTGAGTAGCTTAACAACCATCATAAAAATGATCATAAAATCAAATCTAATTATGTGTTGACTCAATTTACAACTGCAACGACTTATGATCAAAATTCCAGGGTCAATTGTGGCCATAAGTCAAGAGCTACCTGTATATGCACAAGTGAGATGGAAACAAGAAAACTGTACTTGTTCCACTAAAGGGATTCCATGTGTTGTGCCTTTAGATCTCGCTTCAATGA